ACAAAAATTTCGCGGGGGCATGCCCCCGGACCCCCTAGGACATTGTTGTCTCGATCGGCCCAAATTTCGGCCTCCCTTTCGGCCCCCCCTTTTGGACATCTCTGGATCCGCCCCTGTTTAGTGATATAAACACATACTGTATTATTGTGAAATAGAAACTAAAATAACAAATAAATTAATAAGGAATGCTAACATTGCCAAAATAATAAATACACCTATATGAAATTACCCCCTCCCCTCCCCCGGTTAATGTCTGCTGCTGCATATCAATCGTTTATCGTATTTACATTCCTTCTTTATTTCATCATTTCATTTTGTAGGAAAAGAATTATTTGAACATGGAAATGCTAGAGATGACTCAGAACTATCATTATTGGATGAAGGTAAGTTTGTTTTTTATTTATTTATTTTGATAATACAGTATTTAATGAGGGTGACCATTCCAGCTAAAAAGGCGAGCCAGTGAGCTGATCAGTAGGCGCCCTTGTAAATTTGAGATTTGTCATATTGTTTATCTTCGCAGATTTTGCATAATTAATTGTATCATTTGAATAATTTTACAGGTGATCGTGTCGAAGTAGATGAATCGCTGTTTGAAGACATAGATGATCTTGATTTAGAAGATGATGATCTCGATATCGATGCCTGATCTCACATCATGAAACTCAACTGACTCATAATGAACAATTTAGAGAGAGTAATCCATGCAGTAACCATTTGAGACCCTCAATGCTTTGTTGTTTTCTTACTTGTAATGTTCTCCCTGTGGTGAATATTAGTGATATGTCTATATATGGGCATGATGCTGTCACATGACACCCACTTATTGGCTAATCATAATTATTTGTCACAAACTGAGAAATCCTGATTTTTGCTTAAACCCGAAATCTTGAGAAGGTGAATTTCTTAGCCATCAAGCCACACTTTCGCTTTAAATGAATACAGAAAACATGAATATTCATAAGTAATCATAAACATTCAGCATGTCAAAGTTCATGTCAGTAAATAAAATACTTCTCTGTTGGTGTTCAGCAAATTATAGGTTTCTATTTATATGATATTCAATATTTCATTTTTTTTTATTACTATATAGTATTATATTATAAAGATTTATAAATGGTCTTCTATCTAGCGCAGCATGCAAGTACCGTATTATTATCAAAGAAAATTGAATATAGAAAATTAACAACAAAAGTATGTAAAATTTGAATGAATAATACAATATGGAAGTATGGACAAAATATAACTAATAGGAAGAATAATTTATTATTATTCTCTTCATTATTATTGTCATTTATTTCTTGAATATTGTAAATATTAGTAAGATTTTGTTATGGTTTAAAACTATTGATAAATTAATTTACTTAAACAATTGAATAATTGTTTACATTCAGGTGAATACAATACAGTTTTTTGGTTTTTTTTTGTTATTGAGGCTGTACCAAGTATTGTCAATAGCGAACTTGATTTCTCTCTAAAACTTAGAAACAAGATGACATAATGATGGCTAAAATTGCGGTCGCCCACTCTTCCCCTTCCCCAGTTTTTAGACTTAACAAATCTGTATCTCAATAACATTTCCCGAGTTTTTTGTCAAACATCAGTAGAACATATCTATTCCCCTCCCCTCCCCTCCCCTCCCCTCCCCTCCCCTCAAGATCATAGCTTTAAGCAATGAGGCGGTATATAATGAAAATTTGAATACTCAGTTTCATAGATATGTCATATTGTATTTAGCTGATGTATCAATTTAGATAAATGTTAAAAAGGAAATCTAATAAAAATGTTAAAAGTAGCTTATTGCCAAATTACCCAATTGTTGATATGACGTATTTTAAGCTTGGTTTCCATACAATTGCTACACTGTCGCTACAATCGTTGCACTGCGAAGCAGTCCACGACGCAATCGGGAACACTCACCGATTCGTCAAACCAATGAGCATCACCGAAAGCTGTGGGCGATAGCGTGTAGCGATTGAACATCGCATCATGACCATATATAGGCATATCATGACTATATAAAGGCACATCATGACCATATATAGGCACACCATACAACAGTTTTTTTGAGCGTGGACAGGGCTTCACGTTAACGTATGCTGCAAACATCTAATAAACAAAATTTTTAAGAAAAATTTATTTTGAATATTTTAATCATTCACAACTAGAAATACCATAGATGACATTTTGGATAATCAGTGTATTAATATATGAATTACTGATTTATTTTCACCAATGCCACTTGCTAGCGGGTCTAGCAACTCTCTTGTAACACAAACAATGTGCTGCATTATTTGAATGATTTGAAACAACTTTTTTAAAAAAAAACCTTTTTTTTTCTAATTATTTTGATCGTAACTGTGCTGGGCTTCAAAAGTGGTTTAACAAATTCCTCGCCATTATTGTATATTTCAATCGTAATATCATAATAAAGGTTGATAAGATAGCAATTTCAAGTTCTTCCCTCGTTTGTTTGTGTTGTGCAACATGATATATATGCCAGCTGAAGTATAAAGCAATATATTGAACATGTATTTAAAAGGATCACATAATGAAACCCATGCTTATATTTGTATATGTGTATAAGAGACAGTATATATACAGGTATATATATATTTTGTCTGTCTATAAACTTCGTCGCACTTCCAAAATGACAAGCTTTCGTCCATGATCTTAATTTTTATACCGTCAGAAGACCGGTGCAGCTTGTGCTATGTACAAAAATACATCTTCCGATCGTACATTATGTAGAGGTAAAATCGATTTATTAGAGGGAGGTGTTTATCTTGTGTAAAATGGAAGAGTATACTCAAATAAACGCCCCTTAATTTCAGTGTACATGTGGAAGTACAACACATAATTACATTAATAATGCTATTGCGTGAACAAGACTTACTGATCCCAACCAGGCTAGAGTAGAACAAGAATGACGTTTCTTCCATGATTAGTTTACAGTCATTAAGTTGGGGGGAAGGGGAGTTTATTCGATGAAAAAATAAACGCCTCGGGGCGTTTATTCAATGGAGACGGTTATTCTAAATGAGACTAGCGGGTTCAAGCGAGGCGGTTATTCTAAATGAGACTCTAGAGGGGAGTCATTCGTCGCGAGCCGTGCGCTTATTCAAAAGTGGGGCTTTTATTCGAATAACGATAATACTTTTACAAACACTGTTGAAAATAATATGACTGCTTTCCGAGTCAAAATGCGCCTTGATGTAATTTTCGCCTTGATGTTAATATTGTTAAACGAAGACAGGAACACTTGTCATTTGAACCAGTGTAACCGCACTGGCGGATCTGAGAAGGGGAAGGTCAGGACGGAGGTCATGGGTCCCTTTGATCTGCCAAGTAAAACGAATTCTAAGCCATACTTTTTTTAGGACCCGCGGTAAGCTGATTTTTTTTTTTTTTTTTTTTTTTTTTTTTTTTTTTTTTTTACAATGGGGAAATTAGATATTGCCGGAAATGACTCTTGCAAGTAAAATTCATCATCATCGATCTAATTATTCCCTGTGATGTATCTTTCTAGAGGTACTATTTCCCCAAATTTTCTCACCTCAGCACAAACTATAATATGGCTGACATGAGATGAGTGTGTGGACTTAAGGCTTTAGAACTTAAGGCTTTAGAGTAAGATAAAGTAAATACATCAAAGAAAACGTTTTAAAGTTTTATTTTCTATGGCACATCATACATATTAATTAAACCATGATTGCCAAAAATCACTGATAAAAGAAATTCGTTGGCACTTCAATTTGACTATATAATGGTGATATGATCATATTGAATTTTCCTATATAAAACTTTCCGGTTAACTAGATGTACTATTTTCTCCATTGTTTGCACCTCAGCCACATCCATGGGGCTGAAGTGGGTGTGGGTGTTTCAAAATAGATCTGCGCCCTTGCTCAGACATCCTATTATCTAGTATATTTAGTTAGTTGAACGTGGTAAGTTATGCCCTCATAATCCCGACCCCTCCCCCTAAATTTGAACACAGATCCGCCCCTGTGTAGCCCTATCTCATTTGGGCTCATCCACCTACCTTATTTCATTTTTTAATGGTTTATCATAAATCTAATAGTACACATTGTGCTCGCAATATAAATGCTGCAATATGATGTAATGTAGGCCTAGTATACATTGAGAAATGTACATTTTTTGCGGGGTGGGGTTGGGGATTCAGTTTGTACTAAACGAGTACTGTATTATTACCAATTTAATGCTGATATATTTTTGTCTTATTCACAGTTTCATCAAAAATACTACCCTATCTTTGGATTCATTCGGAAGCGCGTATAAACTACGCGTGATATACTCGTTGCTATACTTCATTGTTGCGCGTGCATAGTTTGTTGTGGCAATATCATCACGCGCATACTTCTCTTGACCAATGGTGAAGGTGTAAGCGTTTCGCCATGAATTACACCATAGCAACAACAATTGAATGCGCGATTTCTCTACCATAATTATATCACATCTTACTATATCACATCTTACTCGCAAAACGAATAGCTTCGATTTTGTCTACAAAATTATCGATATTACTGATAATATTTTATTAAAGTCCATTGCCTTTTACTATAATTAGGTAAGTACAGTATAATTAATTGAATATGTATTATTAATTTGATTTCGATTTGCACCCTTAACTTTTTAATTATTTATAAATCTCTTTTTAATTATTATATTATGAGCTTGTATTTGTATACCGTACTTCGTTTTTGGCATAGGGATTGGTTTCATTGCATTGTTGCATACTACAGCTG